TTTTTTTTTTTTTTTTTTTTTTTTTTTTTTTTTTTTTTTTTTTTTTTTTTTTTTTTTTTTTTTTTTTTTTTTTTTTTTTTTTTTTTTTTTTTTTTTTTTTTTTTTTTTTTTTTTTTTTTTTTTTTTAATTTATTTATTTATTTTATTTGACATTTAGTAATAGATTTTTCAGGACATCCAGTTCATCATTCTGGGCTCTAATTGAGCTCACAGCAGGGAGTGGATGATGATCCATAGGATTTCAAGGCCAGGTTGGATGAGGCTTGGAACAATCTGGGATAGTGGAAGGTGTCCTTGCCCATGGCAGGGGGTGGGACTGGATGGGCTTTAAGGTCCCTTCCAACCCAAACCATTCTGTGATTCCATGAATAGTTTTATATATATATGTATATATATATGTATGGCCATAAAAACAACTTTTACTTACTCTTGGAGAAGTAAGAAACAAAACCTTTTTCAGCATTTTTATCCATTAGAGATGATTTGGGGACTCAATGACTTTGGTGTCATTGTTGATGACAGTAATCTCTTTTAGCTTCACTTCAGGGGGAAAAAGAGTAATAGTGATTTTTAACAAAATCAGTGCAATCACTTGTCTCAGGTGCTGAACAGGGGGACAGAGGGAGGCCAGAGACAGACCCTGGCAGCCCCAAATTCCCTGTCCTTGTAAAGCAGTCAGGGCTGAAAAGCGGAACGGGCTGAATTGGGAGATGAACGGCAGGAACACTCCGTGGAGATTGGACTGTCAGGGGTGTTGCTTCTGTTCTCTGATTGGATTTCTAGAGAAATCTCACACCCAGTCTCTGCAGTTTTGCTCCGTGTTTACAGTTTTTTAAACCTCTTCATATATTTTATGCGGTCGCAGAATCCCACACTGCTTTGGGTGGGAAGGGACCTTAAAGCTCATCCAGTTCCATCCCCTGGACAGGGACACCTTCCACCAGCCCAGATTGCTCCAAGTCCTTTCCAACCTGGCCTTGGACACTTCCAGGGGTGGGGCAGCCACAGCCTCAACCTCTCTGGGCAACAACAGTTCATGTGGATAAAGCTGGCCTGGGACAGGGGGCTTTGTGGCTTCCTTGTTTGGGCCACGGAAAATCAGTTTTAGAGAGAAGGCTCTGAGGATTTTATTGAAAGACAATAGAGAGGATTTCCTTCCTACATTCTGGAAAGAGCATCCGAAGCTCGGAGAACCTCTCTGGAATTTGGCTGTGTGGAAGGTGTCCCTTTGCCTTGGGGAGCACCCACACAGGCAGGTCCTGCTGGCACGTGGAAAACTGCCCTGTTACCTCCTTGCTGAGCTGCATCCCTGAATTGCTGCAGTGGAGTTCCCATTCCATGTGCTGGGAGTTCAGTAATGCAGCACAGGGAGCGATTCAGCCCTCCTTAGTCCTCCTGCTCTGTAGCTACAAGGACTGGGGGGATTTGTTGTTGTTTTCGAAGGTGGTTTGAGCACGGGGGGTGAAGCCTGTGCAGAGGTGTGTGTCCATCCTACAGCCATACAAAAGCTTCTAAAGGGCTTTAGAGCTCCCCAGTGGGGGTTTACTCCTTGCTTTCTGCAGGGGGGCTGCCTGTTGGTGTGTCTCCAGTGAGGGAATTTGCAGGGGAGGTTTTGCTTTCAGTTTGTTAAATCTGGTTTTTTTTTTGGTTCCTGAGCTCTGAGTGACACCATCTTATCCTCAGGGACCTCGGAATCACTGAGTATCTTTTATCCCAGTGGCCAGTCCTGTTGGAGTGAGTGTTATTCCTCACACCTCCCATGCCCCTAAATAGAATTGTTTGCTGATTTCTGCTGGTACATCTGAATGTGCCATATCTGTGTGGGATTGGAGTGTTTGGGCTTCACAGCCACCAACGAGCTCGGCTTCTGGCTTAATGATTCTTTATTATTTGGGGTATAATGCGAGGCAAGAACCTGGAGATGAAAACCTAGCTGTTTATGAACCTGTGAAAATGAATCTGCAGCAGGTAGTAATGAAATCTGGGAGAACATATGGAAAAATAAATGAGCTGCTCTGTTCAAAATAGATTTCTTACACGTATAATGATGTTTTATTTTCTTTTACTATTTGTGCAAGCATAGTGGGGAACTGGGTGGCCTTTCAGTGAGTGGCACGGATTTTTTGCTGAACTAATTTGCTGTGGGTAGGGCTGTTTCTGAAAGGCTATTAATTCCAGCAGAAATCCATTTCCCTGTGCCTGCAGTCGGCTGGCACCTGGTGTAAGTGCCGTGGCTTCGCATCGCTCTCCCTTCACTTGGGTTAATGCGGCGCATCAGCTCCTTCCTCTTACTGAGGGGGTTTTACTTGAGACAATTACACAAGAGCTGTGCAAAAGACTTAAAATACCACATCAGAGCCCGTTTTGCGCTGTGGGGAGCCGTGTCCCGGCGCAGAGGGGCGGGAGGCGGCGGCGCCCACGGGTGCCTGCGGGGACACGGCGGAGGAGGCGCTGCACAGCACAGCACCCCGGGGTGACAGCTCTGACAGCACATCACATCACACACCAGCCTGTCACACCTCCACACACAGCCCTCAGCGCTCGCAGGGGACAGGGGAAGATGTAAAGCTTTGGGAGGGGGTTGTCTTCCTGGGCAGGGCTGGCTGAGTCGGCTCTGCAGATTTGCTTCGGGACTGAGCTGAGCCTTCCCTGCTCTGGTGTTCCTTGATTAGAGGGAATCCAACAACTCCTGGTTGCCCTGAAGCTGGGATGGGCAGTTTGTTTGCAGGAAGGCTCTAAAATCCTTCGCTGCATCATAGCAT